TAAGGATAGCTATTTAATATTTTAGTTGCTATACGGTAGTTTTTGTTTTTATCTGCCAAAATAAAAGAAAATAAAGTAAAAACAAATTTACTAGATCGATTGATCTGAAGTACACCAAACAACTTTCAGAAATTTTCTTCTACTAGTCTTTATGCTTCATTTTGGTTAATACTTGTAAATTAAATACGGAGTAGAAGACAGTTAACATGTACGTTATTATCCCCTATTTGACCTAATGTTATATACTTCGTATAGAGTAAGATTTTTAACTACAATAATATTAAACAATATACGTAACGAAGTATGTATTAAAATTGGAAATTCGACAAATTTTATTATAATGAACAGTTCGGTTATACTCGTTCTATGCTCCTAACTATGAGAACTCTACCAGTTCAGTTTTTCCATCTTTTGTTTGCTCTACTATTCATCTTTAACATGATTCATTTTCTGTGTAAATAATACGGAGTATACTGGTAGATTCACATTCAAATTTAGAAAGTTAAGATTTGACCAGGTAATTGGTCAAATAATTATGTCTGTATACAAATGATAGCACCAATTAAAATATTGAAATAATAAAAACTACAATAGTCAAACTGAAGGAGTTCCGTAGTGATATTAAAGCTATGCCTGTGTGTCATATATTATACTTATGCCATGCATCAGAATGATTGATGATAATAAATGTATCATGCATCATTCATGAATTATGTGGTATTAATATTGATGTGAATAAAACCATAACTGGAGTACATTAACATTGATACTTTAAGCAATATGTTTTATCGAGTAAAATAATAATACTTTTAATCACATCTGTCGCTACTCCTGAATCGAAATTGATACAGATTAAATTTGTGATATTCACATGTCAAGCTTATGTTTATTTACATATATTGAAGATATGGATCACTCAAGTGATAAAGAGCTATGTCTGATAGACAGCGCCACAACGCACACCATTTTGAGAAATAAAATATATTTTTCTCAAATGACTTTAGTTGAGGCTAAAGTCAATACAATATCAGGTGTTGCGAAGCTCATTGAAGGCTCTGGGAAAGCATATGTGATGCTCCCTAATGGGACAAAATTACTTATAAATGACGCTTTATTCTCCAGCAAATCGCGGAGAAATTTATTAAGCTTTAAAGATATGCGTCAAAATGGTTATCACATAGAAACCATGAATGAATACCAAAAGGAATATCTTTGTCTAACGACAACTAAATCTGGCACTAAATGTATTTGTGAAAAAATGCCAGCATATTCCTCAGGACTATATTTCACTCATATTAGTCCATTCGAAATAAATTTGTTTTCTAACACAAAGTTAGATGATCAGAAAACATTCATGTTGTGGCATGACCGTTTAGGTCACCCAGGCCAAGTAATGATGCATAAAATCATTAAGACTTCACTTGGACACCCATTAAAGAATATGAGGGTTCCATTATCAAGTGATTTTCCTTGTAAGGGCTGTTCTCTTGGCAAAATGATCATCAGGCCTTCTAAGACCAAAATTGCAACTGAATCCATTTTTAGAAAGGATTCAAGGAGATATTTGTGGGCCGATTGCCCCTCCATGTGGACCATTTCGATATTTTATGGTTTTGATTGATGCTTCAACACGTTGGTCACATGTTAGTCTTTTATCGACTAGAAATTTAGCATTTGCTAAACTCCTTGCTCAAATTATACGGTTAAGAGCTCATTTTCCGGATCATTCTATAAAGAGAATCCGACTTGATAATGCAGGAGAATTTACATCCCAAACATTTAACGACTATTGTATGTCAATTGGGATTGATGTGGAGCACCCTGTTGCTCATGTCCATACACAAAATGGTCTTGCTGAATCTTTGATTAAACGATTACAATTAATCGCTAGACCATTATTAATGAAGTGTAATTTACCTTCATCAGCTTGGGGACATGTTATTTTGCATGCAGCAAATTTAATTCGGCTTAGACCGACTGCACATCATGAATATTCCCCAATGCAATTAGTTACTGGACAAGAGCCAAACTTAGCACACATAAAAATATTTGGTTGTGTTGTTTATGTTCCGATTGCTCCACCTCATCGTACAAAAATGGGTCCTCAAAGAAGGTTGGGAATTTATGTTGGATTTGAATCTCCCTCAATAATCAAATATCTTGAACCAATGACTGGTGACTTATTCACCGCACGGTTCGCTGACTGTCATTTCAATGAGACAGTATTCCCAACCTTAGGGGGAGAAACCAATAAATCGGACCCAAGTACGAAAGAAATAACATGGAATGCAACGGGATTATCACACCTTGATTCTAGATCAAATATATGTGAGCAAGAGGTGCAAAAGATAATCCATTTACAAAATGTTGCAAATCAGTTGCCTGATGCATTCACAGATACAAAGAAAGTGACAAAGTCACATATTCCTGCTATGAATGCCCCTGCCAGAATCGAAATTCCAGCAGAGAATTTTGAAAAATCTCTTGCAAATGATTCTTCTATACGCAAAAGGCGTGGCAGGCCCCTTGGATCAAAAGACATAAAACCAAGAAGAACTAAAAGGCAGGAATTGATCTGTGATGCCAAAGATGTTCATCCTTCTGAACAAGAAAATGAACAATTTGAAAATACTGGCATAGAAAATGATATTGACAAAACAAACATCTCAAATAATGATCCAACTTCCTTAAATGAGGAAGATATTCCAGATACTGATAGAAACGTTGATAATTATGAAATTTCAATAAATTATGTTTCTACTGGAATGCAATGGAATCGAAAAGATATTGATATTAATGAGATATTTGTCTATGCCATTGCCACAAATGTTATGAATGAAAACAATGACAATGAGCCAACATCAATTGAAGAATGTCGGAAACGACAAGATTGGCCAAAATGGAATGAAGCTATTCAGGCTGAATTAAAATCACTTGAAAAACGTGATGTTTTTGGACCGATAGTCCCTACGCCAAAAGGCGTAAAACCTGTGGGTTTTAAATGGGTATTTGTGCGTAAACGCAATGAGAAAAATGAAATTGTTAGATATAAAGCCCGACTTGTTGCCCAAGGTTTTTCTCAAATGCCGGGAATCGATTATGAAGAAACCTATTCTCCAGTAGTTGATGCAACTACGTTAAGGTTTCTCATTGGCATGTCTATTTTTGAAAGGCTGCAAATGCGCCTAATGGATGTAGTAACCGCCTATCTATACGGTTCACTCGATACAGACATTTATATGAAAGTTCCCGGAGGATTTAAAATGCCTGATGCTTATAGCTCGAAACCTCGAGACATGTTTTCCATTAAATTACAAAAGTCATTGTATGGACTAAAACAATCTGGACGAATGTGGTATAATCGTCTCAGTGAATACCTTCTCAAAGAAGGATATAAGAATGATCCGATTAGTCCATGTGTTTTCATTCGGCGATCAAATTCGGGATTCGCCATAATTGCAGTATATGTTGATGACTTAAACATTATTGGAACTCCCGATGAAATTGAAAATACTGCAAAATATCTTATGAAAGAATTTGAAATGAAAGATCTCGGGAGAACCAAATTTTGTCTCGGACTTCAAATTGAGCATTTGAAGAATGGAATTTTCATCCACCAATCCAATTACACCGAGAAAGTGTTGAAGAGATTCTATATGGACAAAACTCATCCTTTGACTTCACCAATGGTCATTCGATCTCTCAACATACACGATGATCCATTCCGTCCCCGAGAAGACGACGAAAAAAATACTTGGTCCCGAAGTACCATATCTTAGTGCTATCGGAGCTTTAATGTATTTAGCTAATAATACTAGACCAGATATTGCATTTTCTGTAAATTTATTAGCTAGGTACAGCTCATGTCCAACAAGACGTCATTGGAACGGGATCAAACACATATTCCGTTATCTTCGTGGTACAGTTGATCTAGGCCTATTCTACCACAAAGATGCAACATCTTCTTTAATCGGGTATGCAGACGCCGGATACTTATCAGATCCTCAAAAGGCAAAATCACAAACCGGGTACGTATTTACTTATGGTAATACCGCAATCTCGTGGAGATCTATGAAACAGACGTTGACAGCTACATCATCAAATCATTCGGAGTTAATTGCACTATATGAAACCGGAAGAGAATGTGTATGGCTGCGATCTATGATTCAACACATCCAGAATGAATGCGGTATGAAGCCTATTACTGTTTACCCCACTGTGATCTATGAAGACAACACTGCGTGCATAGCTCAAATTAAAGAAGGCTACATCAAAGGAGACAGAACGAAACACATATCTCCAAAATTTTTCTCTACTCATGACCTTGAGAAAGAAGGGACGATCAACGTTCAGCAAATCAGATCCAGTGAAAATCCAGCTGATCTCTTCACCAAATCTTTACCCCCGAAGAAGTTCGTTGAACTTGTACAGAAAATAGGCATGCGCCGCCTTCAAAATTTATGTTAATTCCAGGGGGAGTATTTGAATGCACTGCACTCTTTTTCCCTTCATCAGGTTTTTATCCCACTGGGTTTTTCCTGATAAGGTTTTTAACGAGACAGTACATCCAAATACAACGACATTATATGTCGTAATCTTTACCCCTTAATTTTCACACTGATTTTCACAATAAGTTTTTAAAATACCAAATACCTATTCCAGGATGAACATTCAAGGGGGAGTGTTGTAAAATCATCAAAATGACATGTGTGAATGTCCATCCTTGTCATCAGGACACTAATCCAAGTTCAATCCTTGTAATAGACAGATGGCTAGGTTTAGTGTTGCCAACAGATTATGTAGAATCATTCTTTGATGATTCATCTCCTAGTCTACTAGTATAAATAGGGTGATGAATCCTTTGTAAATGTAATTCAAGCAACTTAGATACTCAGAAATCTCAGATATAGAGAAGAAGTAATTTAGAGGTTTTTATCTATATATGTATCTCTTAAATTTAGTCTTCATGTTCTTCATTACACAACACTCTTTCCATTATGCGGCGGGCATGTTTTTGTCGTTTTCGCGGACCAGCAATTCCGCATACATATATGTAGGATCCGAATCCGAATTTTGAACTCCAGAGCCCGCCACGGGAATGCCCTTTCTCCCCCGTTGCCCCAGTTCAATTGCTCCATTTTTGGATTAGATTTCGCCAAAGCTCCGACGAAGAGGCAGAATTCAAGCTCATAGCGAGGAATGTCGTTGTCAGTCAATAGCGATTCACAATCCAAAAACCCTATTACCTTGTACAGCCGCAAAGAGAAATCTCTCGGCGTTCTCTGCTCCAAGTAACTCTCTCTACGTACAGTATTTTACTTCTTATAACAACTGTATTTATGAACATACATGCTTGACGCACCTAGAAATGATATATGTATTCGTGTACGAACTGATAAACTCGTGTTGCTCAGTTTTTTGAGGCTGTACGACCGAGATGATGTGGATTGCATTGGATTGGACCATGCTGCTGATCAATTAGGTCTTCAAACTATCTTTTATACTGTTTTTATGTTAATTTCCATATAATCTCTTATTCTCTTCACTGGGTGTAGGAAATTCATGGTTGACAAAATTTACCTATGATTTATGAATATGTTTGTGTCTCTAGGTGTTGAAAGACGCCGAATTTACGATATCGTTAACATACTAGAGAGTGTTGGGGTAATTTTATTTGACATAACCTTAAAACTTCAGTCTTCAAAAGCAGAAGCTAATTACAATTTTCTCTCCAGTTGTTGTCCCGAAGAGCTAAGAATCAGTACACTTGGAAGGGTTTCACTGCTGTTCCTCAGACTCTGGAAGCACTTAAGGTTCTTGTAGTATTTTTTGTGGATGACTGAAGCTTGGATTCTCTTATGTTACCTTATGTTGTTATTTCATTTGTAGGAGGAGGGTTTGAGAGAGAAGCTCAATGTCCAAAAGATTGGAAAAGTATGTGGTTTCTCCTTGTGGTTCTCTCAGTTTACGTTCCCTGGTTCAAATGCCGCCCTAAAGTTTTTCCTTCATTACCAATTATATTTGTAATTATGTTTTTTTAAGTAGGTTTCAATGGAAAATGAATACCAACCAACTGTGAGTTCAAGCAACACACAGGATAGCAAACATGATTTTTTGTCCCGAAGAGCTAAGAATCAGTACACTTGCAAGGGTTTCACTGCACTTCCTCAAACTCTGGTTGCACATAAGGTTCTTGTAGTAATTTTTGTGGATGTATGAAGCTTGGATTATCTTATGTTACCTTATGTTTTCATTTTTGTAGGAGGAAGGTTTGAGAGAGAAGCTCAATGGCCAAAAGATTGCTAGTGTATGTGTTTTCTGCTTCTTGTGCTTCTCATTTCCATTCCCATTCAATTGGCGCCTTAAAGTTTTTTTGTCATTACCAATTAAGTTTTTAATTTTATTATTTAAATATAGGTTTCAAGGGAAAATGATTACCAACTAACTGTGAGCTCAAGCAACACACAAGATAGCACACGTGAATTGGGTAAAGAAAGTTACTGGCTTCTTTCCCCTTTGTTTTAGTCATATGATTATTTTAGGAAAACTGAAAGAAAGAGTGAACTGTTAGTGAGTATTACAATGTCTTGATGTCAATTTATTTTCATTCTTGATTGCATAGACAACACAAAGGAAAAATCAGCGGCTCTCCTGACACAGAACTTCGTTGATGCACTTAAGGTTCTTGTAGTAATCTTTGTGGATAACTGAAGCTTGGATAATCTTATGTTTCCTTATGTTTTCATTTAATTTGTAGAAGGAAGGTTTGAGAGAGAATCTCAATGGCCAAAAGACTGCAAGTGTATGTGGTTTCTCCTTCTTGAGCTTCTCTCATTTTTCATTCCCTGTTTCAATGTTCACCTTAAAGTTTTTCCTTCATTACCAATTAAATTTATAATCATGTTTTTTAACGTAGGTTTCAATGGAAAATGATTACCAAGTAACTGTGAGCTCAAGCAACACACAAGATAGCACACATGAATTGGTTAAAGGAGGTTACTGCCTTCTATACCCTTTAATTTAGTCATATGATTATTCTAGGAAAAATGAAAGCAAAAATGAAGTTATAGTGAGTATTACTGGCTTCTATGTTTTGATGTTAATTAATTTTCATGCTTGTTTGTATAGAAAACAGGAAGGAAAAATCGTTGGCTCTCCTGACGCAGAACTTTGTAAAACTTTTTCTTTGTTCTGAAGTAAGTGGAGCAGTCTTGGTTCTAATATTTTCATAAACTTACCTATTTTAAAGTTGCTTATTAAAGTTTGTTCAATGCTTTTTTATCTACCTTAGATGGAATTCATCTCACTAGACAATGCTGCATCAGCTTTGCTGGGTAACATGCATGATCCAACTGCCATGCGAAGTAATTTCCCTTCATTTATGGTGTGTTTGGAATTTGGATGAGAGGAAAGAAGAAAAGTTGAAGAGTAATATAAAGATGGGAAACAGGGGAGAAAGTAATGCCACGCGGAAAGCACCATGGATTAATTTCTGATCCAAAATGGGAAAATCAATTAGTTCTTTCTCAGCACTATATATTTATTCTGTTCTAATTTCTCCAAGTGTATGGCTTGTCTTTATTTCTCAGTCTTTTTTTTCTCATTTGCTTCCCTCTACAACCAATGCAAACACAGTTTCTTTCCTTCTCTCCATTTCTGTACCTATTTTACTTCCTGATTCCCTCATATTCCAAATGTTCCAAGACACAATTACTCATGTTATCTTTGTTAAGTGCCAAAAGTTTTTGCAAATGCATTCTTAATTTTGACTTGCATTTTCCCTATTTAATCTGCAGCAAAGGTTAGACGCTTGTATGATATTGCAAATGTCTTTGCATCTATGAACCTCATTGAGAAGGTTGGCTACGATTCATAATTTCATGTTGTGAAGCTGAATATTGCAGATAGTTCCTTATCATGATTTATTGTGTATTTTTTTTCAGATTCGTCACCCAGAAAGTGGAAAACCAGCATTCAGATGGATAGGGCAGTTAGGAAATCCAGCCAGGAGTGGGTCCAGTAGTGCCGCCAATATGAATGGTCTAAAGAGGACATTTGGGACGGATATTACAAATAATGTGACAAAGAGAAACAAGGTTGGTTCATCATCAGATGTGAAGCCATGTGAATATGGGACACAGTATGTGAAACATGGTTACATGAAGGATGAAAACTGCAAATTGTCACCTGAGCGGCATAAGCAGGGCTCCAAAGAATTTGAGTTTGGTCCTTTCAGTCCAACTAGTGTACCAAGAGAGGTTCTTAGAAGCATAAGTGGTGGTGGGCATATTCCCAACTGGGAGAACCTGGCTTCTACATATCGCCCTCGGTATTGCAATAAGGGTAATCTCTAGAACCCAACATTTAAATTGTTAACGACATTCCTTTCCACCCATGACCATCGAGATGGAAACATCTAATTACTCCAACATATATTTATCTAGTTTCTGTAAAAGGTTTTGTTCATCTCTTGCCGATGACTGATGATTTACAAAGTACAAAGTATGTATAAGGTCCAAATGTTGATTATATGGATTAGTAGTTCTTTTGGTATCATTAGTGCAAAGTATGTAAAAGCTGTTTGCAGTTTCTAAAGCTCTTCTCTGTTCCAAACTAAGTACTTGTTTGATCCGAGTTTCAAAGATCTGATATTGTCGGGTTTGAATTTGTCTGCTCAGGCTTGATTAGAGAAACACTCAATTCTCTCATTAGGTGCCCAAAGTCTCAAAATAAGTGTTATTGTTGGATTTTGATGCATGTTTTTTTACTAATCTTCCAAACAATGCTCATATTAACTTCTTCTGCATTTCATGCTTTTATGCCATTCAAAACAAGAAAATTTCATTGAATGCTCAACATAAATAAGGGTAAAAGGTCCTTTTACAAGGTCTTTTAATATGAGGCCTCTAAATTACTCAGTATTATATGATGTCTTATTGCTACCTCTGAGTTGAAAACACAAACTTGTTTTGGTGATCAATATCGCAGCTGCAAATGATTTATTTGGTCACTATGTTGAGGCGTGGAATTCATGGTATATTGCAGCTGATGAGAGTAAGCATGATCAAATCCATCCCACCCCACTTTGATTGCTTCCTCTCATTCCAATGGCAGCTTTTCATGATCAGCACAGAGTCTACATGTATTCTCTTCATCCTCTTGCAGATGAGAATAAGTAGTTTTCGTTTTATTTCTTGATGTAGCTCACATCTAGTACCCTACATTCCCACATTATTGAAGTCAATTTTGGTTCAATGACTGAACTAAGAAAGCTGGTTTTCTTTTAATTTTACTTGCCACCTCGCCTTCAATTAGAGTTGTAAGATGATGTTCATAATGAACAAGGTACCAGGTGCAGATGCGTAATGTCATACATTAACACATAATGCATGCATGCCAAGAAAGGAAATGCAATGCTTGCAACACATATCAAACAGTTTAACTTGCTTTGAAGTATCATAGTGACTTTTTTTATTTGCTCTTGGAACCGGAATATGTTAATGCGACCTGGAACTAGGCCTGGACTTGGGCCGGTTTGGGCCCGGTTCAGGCCTGGGCCCGGCCGGGCCTCGGTTCAGGAAAGGGGAGGCCCGGAACCGGTCCGGGTAACCCCGGGTCCCGGGCTGGGCCGGGCCTCGGTTCATTTTTTTTGCCTTTTCCTAATTAACCCCCCCCCAAACCATCCCAAACCATCTCAAATGACCCAAAATACCCAGCCCAGCCCAAAAACTTAAAAAAATTCAAAAAAAAGGAAAAATAAAAAAATAAAATGGCCCGAACCGGCCGGACAGGTTCACGTTTTGAGGGGCCCGAGCCCGGACCGGAACCCCAGCGGGTCGGGCCTACCCGAACCGGTCACTGACCGGGCCACCGGGCCGGGCCGGAGCAGTGCCGGTTCAGGTCGGTTCTGGGTCGGGCCACCCGGCCCGAGTTCAGGCCTACCTGGAACCAAATAAAGTTTTGGCTCGATCAAATAAAGGAGATGGGGTATTGGGCATTGCTTCAAAAACATTTCTATTGCAAAAGCGTGAAAAGAGCCAGTAGCATACTCTATAAACTTATTAAATAAAAGTCTTCATTTCTATGATTTAAAAAGTTTAGTTATTTTTATTTGCAATGTCAAACACATTATTTAATTTTTGATATTGTTATTGACATGTTGAAGAAAAAAAATAACTAGAACTCCACTACTCTGAGAAGAAAGTGGAGAGGTTTATCTATTTCAACTTTAATGCATCTATTTTTCTTATGTCATGCATGTTCTGAACTTTTGTTTTGGAGATGCTCTAATTGGAATCTGCTGAGGTCCTGATCTAGAACCACAATTGGGAATTCGGTCCACACGTGCTTCA